TTTCAACATCATTCTTTAAAGATGAATGGCGTTCCAGGCTTTTTAAAAAAATCCTTTTTCTACCAATTCTACCAATTTTGAGACCCTGGAGTCATTAGGCAGGAATATAAATTGTCCACTTGAGGAACGCTGTTTATATCACCGGGAGTCACATCTGCGTCACTTCGTGTCTCATATTGACTGATTGATAGACAGTAATGTTTAAATGTTTTCCAGTAAAATTAAAAGTATGCACATAATTTTTTGTGAAAATATTTGCTCATATTTGAAAGTGAATTTACGTTTAATAATATGTGCAGGTACAATGGCCATTCGACTATTATCTTACGGTCAATTTTCAGATAAACTGGTTGTAATTTTAAAAAATAGTTAAAATAATTGGTACCTATAAATAAAAGTAGCAGATGTGATATAATTTATGACTGATTCAGAATCATAATTTATAGTTTTGAAAGTAAGCAGTTTTCAGCTTCACTAGAAGAGATAATCTGCGAACATCCTCCATGAAACTACCTAATTAAAATGAAGTTTTCTGTTTGGTTCTATAATAACTAGTGATTATATTGAATGAAAAAGTATTCCTTATTGGATATTTGCATTTCAAATCTCTATCATCATCATTATCATGGTTTTTCTAAACGATCTGTATCTATATAAAATTCAGAATATCCTTGATATTGAAACGCATTCGCTTACCTATGAAGAACCGATTGCGATTCGTAAATGCAGCAAAATAATGCAATTCCGACCGCTTACTTTTGTGAATCTCAAACAGTTGACTGGTTGTACTAGTTTCATGAAAAAATTTAACCAGTTTTAAAATCACTCGATTCCACCAAGGTAGAGAATATCATCTATAGGTATACCTACTCAAGAAGTAAATCATCTATCAATTTGTAATTTATCGTATGCAATTTATCACCCATAACTACTTATATGAGAGAAAATATTAACTTGAAAAGTGATTTTTTCATTAACACAGCAACATTTTTCAAAAAGCATGTTTATAATGTTCGAGACCTGTGAGAAAAACAAAGGCATGAAAAAATTTTTCACAAGTGAAATAGAAAATCGTTACAAGTGTAGAAATGATAGACTAGTAAGTCTAGCTGAAAATTGTCTCAGCTAAAATTAAAATAATTTCCTCTCAGAAAAACAACACGAAATTAGTCAGCAATTTGTCGTATTCTGAATATTCCTACAATAAAATAGTTTTTTCCTTATTTCTGAAATAACTTACTTACGAAATCTTATTTCTAATAAATATATGATGGAATCGGCCGATACTTGATGAAAATCCATAACTAACGTATTCCAAAAACACTTTATTGTGAGATTTTCACTAAATTGTTTTACAAAAACGCAACACGTGTTTCGCCATACAATGGCTTCATCTGGCGTGTCTTTCAACTAGTTGAAAGACACGCCAGATGAAGCCATTGTATAGCGAAACACGTGTTGCGTTTTTGTAAAACAATTTAGTGAAAATCTCACAATAAAGTGTTTTTGGAATACGTTATTTCTAATACAGGTAATGTACACAGTTATCAGACAGATTTTGATTTTTGTTTCTTGTCACTTGGAGCTTTGTTCAAGACAGAAATGTTACTGGTTAATCTGTTTAAAATCTGTTTTTCTGTTAACCAGCTGTCGCACCCCTACGAACGACAAACCTCAAAAGTCGAAACTTGTGCGAGTTCAGGATCAACGAGGTCTTACCTGTTAACGTGTGATTCCTAACACGAGTTGGACGATAGCAAGTGAATATCGATCGTTCAGACTGGGGCTTGAACCACCGACCAACACGGCAGTCAACTCGAGTGAGTGAAAAAAGCACCCACGTCGAAACGCCTGGCTACCGACCGACCGAATGTATTGGTTTTGTATTTGCAGTTGAGCCACGATGAAGCTAGTCGAGCCCCAGACACCCTGCTATCTGGGCCTGCACTTAACGAAACCAAAATCAAAATCAAAATTGTTGCTATTTTGAAATGAGAAATGACAGGAGGAGACTTCAATGTAGAGCCCAGGACGACAACAAAAGGTAGCGTCTCCTCACAGTTCCACGATTGAACAGCAGAGGCGCCTCGCTGGTGTTAGCGGATAGCTCTTCACTCAGGAGTGCTTCATTTCAGCCTCGGTCTAGGACTTCTCGCTTCCTGCCGGGGCTTACGCGCCGGCAATACCATGTACTCCTGAAGGGTGCATGGTTTTGAGTACGTCTAGTGTATCTCAGGATTGATGTGAGAGCTTCCTGGAAAAAGTTCCTGAAAAAACCGTAATAGTAGTAATTATGAAATCACGAGAATTTCGTGAATTATCCTATCTAGCTTTTTCATGAACTAAACGCGACCGCATTCGTGCCGTTCATGAAAGCTATCAAGTGTCTCTCTCATAGATCAGTCCGCGTTTACGGGGCTGATTCTGGTAGCTTCTAAACACTGTAACGCCCCTTGTCAGCGGGCTTATCGAAAGAAAAACTTGAAGAATAAATAAGACAGCCTCCTGATATATTCATTGGCCGTCTCAACTTCTGCCAGATTTAACAGATCATTCAATGAAATGTATATGTAACTATTCGTGCAAATACGGAGCACTTTATTCTGCAGTGTCTCGAGTCTCCGCAGACGAGTCCTCTTGAGGCTGCAGAATACGGGACAAGCGTACAACATAGCTGGTCTAATTACTTGTTTGTAAAGAAGATGTTGTCAGCACTAAGTTTATAGTTCCTTGCAATGAGCGGATCCGTGCGTCGCGGCAGCCGCTCGTTGGATTGCCAAGCTCGATTGTTCCCGAAAGTTCAGGTGTCTATCCAGGATAACTCCCAGATATAGCACGCTCTTCTGCCCATCAACGCAGTCACCCTTAACTCACCAGTTCCCGAAGATCTTCACGTTAGTTAATTTCCTCGAGAAGTTAACGAGTGATGTTTTGTTGGGGTTATCTGAAACTTATTTATCTCAAAATACGGCACTACAAACTTGTCGAAGTGGATCTGCAGCTGTTGCTTCGCCACCTCGCTCGAGAACGAATCCGCGTATATCGCAGTATCATCTGCGTATAGGTATACCCAAATTTGTTCTCGGTAACATCGGAAAGTCGTACGTATACAAGGACTATAAGTGCTGCGGTGACAAACCAAATCCCTATGGAACACCTGCTTTCATTGGACAATTCGCACCCTGTGAACAACCCGAATTAGTTGTGAAGCCGTATTCCGAACTCGTCGGAACCCGAATTGCTCCTCGGGAATGAGCTTCATCCTGTCTTCCAGTCGACGAAGTCTTCTCAAGAGAATCTTATCAATGGTCTTCGCCACCGCACTGAGCAGCGAGATCCTTAACGAAACCAGTCTATTGGTGATAACTCTAATGCTGTTGCTGGAATGGGAAGCATCTGCAAGAATTTCCTTTTTGTGGTTTATCGGATATAATCCATTGTTCATCGTGGTATCAAACGAATGATGCATGTTTTGAATAATGTTCAGTTAGCCATCGTTTAGATGACAAAATACCATGCGTTAGTGAATCTGACTTAAGAATAGACAAACTCTACCGAAAAATAAATGCAAACGATGTATAATATTAGTAACCATAGACTATAATCTCAAAATTGACAAATTTCCATTTTTTACCATAAATTGATACCAGGTATGTATATATCACAAGAATTCTATATTTTTAAAAATCATTTTCAAAAATAAAGTACAACTGAGTATTCTTCTTCTCTTCTCTAATGATATGAATGTCAAGAGTTTTGTTTTATCAACTGAATTAATTTTAGTTCAGAATTAGTAGTAAATCATTAATTCAGGTTATAAAAAATGGATACAATTAAAAACAAGATCACACATTCGATTATATTCAATATATTCAATACGACAGCTGCAGTTGTCTGACTCTCCGAATATTTGATCAGAAATAAAAATTCGAAGATTTCAAGCCAAGTTACTTCACGATGTTTCGATTGATGGTATCCACAATCGTCTTTGGGTGTCTTCGTCGTCACCCGAAGACGATTGTGGATACTAACAATCGAAACATCGTGAAGTAACTTGGCTTGAAACCTTTTAGTTTTTATTTCTTTTTAATTGTTCAATTTTTCATTGTTGCTTTTATTTTATTCTATTGTAATTTCATTTCAGGGTTTTTTTGCTTAATATAATTGTTATTTTCAGCTATTCATTTTAGTTTTATTGATTCTTTCAGGAATTTCAAATCATTTTATGTCATATTAGACAATGGAAGTTCGAACTAATGAAATTCATTATTCGTTATTCTTTACTATCTCGAGAAGAACAGGTGGTGTCTTAAGTTTCTTTCTAGGGTTTTCCTCGCAGCTGAAAATCAAATGCTACATTTGATGAATAGCGCCCTGAATTATCTGAGAAATTCTTTCATATTTCAATGCTATTTTTAAAGTTGTGAGTACTGGTAACTATTCATAAAATTCATAAACTTATCGTATCGCTTTCCAGTGCTTTGGTGATTTCTTGTCAATTGCAGATTGAAGATTCCAGTATTTACATAGGGACTTTGATATTAAGACTAGAAAAACTACAAAAATTCAAATTGCTTTTTCCTGGAAACGAGGATGAAATTATTATGAACTTTCTTATCTTTTTTCAAGGTCATAGTGAAGTCGCATATTTCCATTGGACGTTTGGGTGGTGTCTTGGAAATTTGAAGGAAGGACTGCAACTACGCCACCTATGTCAAGTCATGATTTTTTTAATGCTTGGGAGTCGTTTTTCTTATCCATTTCTTCCAAATCCCCGGAAAATATTGCAGCTTTCAGGGTTTTTAATTTCACTATTTATTTGGAAAACAATAGAAATTATTTAATTAAATGTCAGAAAATATAAACAGTATGAATTTTCTATTGTTAATTTAATATTCTCAACAACCAATTGTACCGGTCAGCAACTGAAAATGCTTGAAAGTGAAGTTCGATCTTTGACTTTGGTGGAATTACGAGATCACCTGTAATGGACATTAACTGTTCGCAGTCCATACTCGATTTGTTTTTGCCTCGTAAAAGAACAAGGCCTATTGGCTATCCTACGGAAAAATGTTTGTCTGCGGCAATTTTTATTCTCTACATATAATTTCAGATACCCTGTTTGGATTCCCTTTTTTATTTTTAGTTTGTTCTGTATAAAAGAATCCCCTTTTCTTGACTTAATGTTAGTTCATTTTCATTTGTTTGTTAAGCAACTGTTTCTTTCACCAACATGAAATCGGTAAGTTTATCTTCATAGAGGGTCTCAATTTTCCAAATTTTGATTTTATTCGTGTTTTGAAAGAGGTAACATTCAATTTTCGTTGAAAGGAATTTCAATTCTCATCAACTTGCTGATCAATATGGCTTGGATGACTTTAATTTATGAGGGTGATTATTTCTTATATTTCATGAAAAAACTTCGTATAAAATTCGACACTTATACTTGCAACATTCTTTTGAATAATTAATGAGACATGGAAGAGTTTGAAGGAGCTAAAGAGTATTTTTTAGCTTTGAAAGTTACTTATACAGTTTATTGTGATTTTCACTACAAAAGTTTCATAAAACCACGACATGAGTTTTATAAAATAATTTCCTCAAGCAAGACTGAATTAGGTGTTACCTATGGTATAATCATATAATTAATTATAGGCTAGAGTCAACTATCTGAAAATAGAATTAATTATCTCATTTGACAGTAGGTGATAGTTACGAGTAATGATCCAGAGTGAAAAATGTTATAATTTAGGATCAATTCTATCAGTCCTGCTATTGTATGGCGATTTCTAATCTTTTCTAAGTGAAAATCACAATAAGCTGTATAATTTCTGATAAGGATATCCATCAAGTATTGACCATTTCTCTTCGAACTTCACTATCAGTATTAATATAATTATCTTCTAGCCAAGATTTGTGAATTTTTTTATATTTATGGAGTTTTATTCAATGGTTCATGATCAAAGAGAATACAAGTTGCATATGAAGATTTTCTCCACTAATATCTACAAGGTAACACATCTAATACAACGCCATCGAAATCATAATTAGATGAAATAATAAAACTTTTTAAATTTTATCATAATCGTCAAAATTATTTGTGAATGGGTAATAAAATCTACAATTATCAATATTATAACACCTTATTTTTGAAATCCAAGGGACTTTTTCTGTAAAACTTGAAAAGGACATCCACTGAAGTAACTTATCACACATATTTTATAATAATCATGTTTATTTACTAAGAAAAAAACTTCAAAATAGTGTATATGATTGAGGTGATGTAAATAGATAAAATAACTCCAAATATGAATATCTAATTTGGTGATATGCGCATACGTCTACTCATATACACACATATATAATAAACAATTATAAGAAACAAAAGTTTACGTTCAGCAAATAAACATTAAAAAAGCCACAGAAATAGCAAAAGCTGTTTGGCGAAATACAATTTGATTTAACACTTCGTATTGGAACACTAAAATGGAAAAAAAGAATTCTAAAATAAGTACATATAAAATATTTAACATTTACAAAATAATATTTGTGTTACATGGAAATATAAGTTTACTGTGATGTATACAAAAAAAGCAAAAGATAAGTATTTACATTTTTGCGATGACGGAGACATTGAAATGGTGTATAAGATAAAAATCATTAGAATAGATCACGTGGAATATAAATATATAGATATTAAAATCAGGACATAAAAAGGATTTGGGGTGAATAATGACATGTAATTCGTACTTAATTATTTTAGTCAAATATTCTTCCAATGATTTTACGATGAAGCCTAGTAATAAATTTTTCGATTGTCTTTTTCGTGTGCTTGGTAGATTCACAATTTTGTATATCTTCTGGTAAGGAATTGAACACCTTTGGGCTCAAAAATTGATGAGATCTCTGTTCTATTGTTTTGAATGGGAATGGTACTATATATTTGTATTTGTGTATATGTACCTATATGTATGGTTGGGTCTGATGCATTTTGCCTTTTCTTTATATTGATGCAAGGGTTTTGAAAAACAGTTGCCTCACATTGAATATTTCTGATTCTTTATATTATTCGTCACTGTTGTATCTTGGTGGTTTATTCAGCATCAGTTTTATGAATTTTCGCTGGATAACTTCCAGTACAAGTGGGTTTTGGACACTCCTCCCCATCCAATAATACAATATAGTAAGTGGTTTTGCACAAGGGTGAAATATAGGTATGTTTCTTTTCTCCTTATGATCCAGGATGTCTTTAAGTTGCCGGAACTGAAATTGGATACTTCTTAATTTTTTCACTAGATAGTTTATATGAAAATTTAATCTCAAGTGAGGGTCTATAATAACTCCCAAATAATTTATATTTGTAGCTGAGCATATTTGGAAATTAATTTGGATTATTTAGGTTTTATACGGTGGTGAGGAAGGTCTGTTGTAGCAGAATGGTAAGAAGTATGTTTTTTAAAGGTCAGTGATGATTCTATCTCGACAAAAGTAATGCCAAATACTAATGAAAACCCTTGTTTGCGGTTGTAGTCGGAATGATTCGTATGCACTTCAATAATTCATTGAATTAAATTCTAATGCTGACAGGTATCTATGAATATTATACTACAAAGTCCCTCCGCCACGTCTCTCTCTATCTGAAAAAACTTTCAAAAACTACCAAATAATGTCCAATGTCATATATAAACCTGATAAAATTAATTCAATTAATTTATTGATCGTTTTATCTTTTACCAATTTAGGGGCCAATTTAAGATACGATACAATGTCATGTTGTAGGTCAGAATCGTTTGGTCCGTATTGCATGCCTGAATAAACCGTTTTATGGTGATGATCTGGATTCACCTTAAAAGGATACTAGAATTACATTAAATTCTGAGAGATGCCATTCAGATTAGAAATATAATCTGAGATACATGAGAGATGGTAATATTTCATAATTTCATATGGTATGTCTCATGTATAATTTGTCAAGGTAAGATGATGCTTTTTGATAATCGCGATAACTCTAAAAGCCTCGGCTCTAAAATACATTATGTATCATTTCTGGTGTAGTAGAATATAGTGGGTATTCAATTTTTTCTGGTGTTGTTGTAATTCACCTTGGGATCGCATTTTTTATATTCCCGTATATATTTTTTGTGTAATAATAATTTAGCTTCTGAAATCATCTTTTCCTATAGATTCGATATTTTAAAAACAGAAATTAGCTATATTGAACTGACAAATGTAATAAAAAATGTATTCACTAGTGATCTATTCCGGCTTTGTTTTGATTATCTTCCGGGTTTTGCCGTGGTCTTCTTTGGTTATAATCTCGAAACGTTTCAAGTCATCTTCAGTGGCGTCGTCGAAGTACTCTTCTTGACATGTCAACGTTTCAGCTTTCATATTTGAATACGAATTCAAAAAGTTTGTAGGATCCATCTGTATCTGTAGAGTAGGGAGGGTGAGTGTAAGCCCACGCACTTAGGCCACATGTGACCCATTGTACATCCTCCCGAGGAGTTGTCCTCCTAGGTCGTCGTCCATCCTGTCCTTTGTAGGATCCATGTTTTCATATGGATTTTCTCAATCTGTTTCCAATTTTCAGAAGGGATATTGGGACAAAATGATCATGATAGTAGCTCGAAAGAATACCTACTCAAAAATAGTTTTTCCTAATATAATAAATGAGATTTGATGTATAGGAATGAATTGAGAGCCGAATCTTTCAGAAACAGAATCTTTTATGGAAAAAACAAGACATTTATGGTAGCGAATTTTATAATGAGCAAAAAAGTGTATTTCATCACCTTCAAACAAATGAGCAAAAAGGATTATATAGTGTGGACGAAAAACGCCTAATCATGAGTCAGTATTTTCTTTCTTTGGATAACAGTCCCCAAATTTACTGCAACAAACTTCATTTTGTTGGATCCACAGTTTGTAGGATTTCATAGGTTCATAGGTTAATAACATGCGGTATATGTGGAACTATCAACATTGGTAGCAATTATTCTAACTTCAACAGTTTTTGCAAAACTGTATATGTGATTTGTTGAATCATCTTTGACCTAAAGAATTCAGAGTACAGGCTCAAAATTATTGAAATATTGATTAAACCTTTTTATTCCAGATACTTCTGTTTATTTTGTCTCTCTCCATTGCTGTTCAGTCTGCATCTGTGCTTCCAGCAGATCGGTCCTCCTCTTCCTCTGTTCACGTGAAACAAGGTGACAACGAATACTCTTACAGCATTCATGAAAGTCGCGAAGTACAACAATCGGAATCTTCTCCCGAAACGAAGCAAATTCCGCAACAAATTATCGCAAATACTTTGCAGTCAGAAATAAGTCAAATATCTGGAGAGGCGAGAGATCCGAAAATCCAGGACCAAGAAAAAAATCGCGAACAGAGAGGAGTCGATGGGTCAAACATTAGTGATAGTCGGGAAGTCAAGGGTATAGAATATAAAGAAGTAGATAATCAGCCACGACAGGGACTGAATATCCTGGTGCCAATCGAAAATCAACCCCTAGGGGGATTCCTGATGCCAGGCCATCGACAGATCAAGGGTTTGCATCTGATAGAAAGTGATAACCAACCTCAAACAGAACTGAAAATTAGCGTCCCTGTCTTTCGTGACATAAAGGAACAGGAAGTGAAGGCAACCGAAGGTCAATCCCAAGAGGAACTGAAGATCAGTATTCCTGGCTATCGATTGATACCGACAACTGATGTTCAGTATACATTGAACCAACCTCTGTACTATCCTTATTATCCACTGTATGGAAATAATGTATACAATTTTGTGAGATATGTTTGAGGATATGTCTGAGAGGTTCATGAATTGAGAGGTTGAGGGTATTTTCGAAAAAGTTTTTTTCGAGGATGGATATTCAAGTACTAAATAAAAGAATGTGCCATTTACGTGTGTTTTATTTTTTCCTTCCGTATTTTATTACTATTCCAGCGAATTATTCAAGGGAAGTATTATTCAACAGAGTATACCTATGAGTATAAATACAAATAAATCATTTTTAGTTCACTATAGATAACATAGAGTTGATGAAATATTTACTAAAGCTTACTGATATGAGTAGTAAATATTTCAGACAACATTCGTGCCACTCGTAAAAGCATATTAGATCACGGTCGACAATTTTTGAAAACAAAAATATAACATTAGAATGAAACCTATTAGAAAAGAAGGGAAATATGATGAAAATGACAGGAGAAATAAATTACGGGCGATCTGAGTTCGAGTGAGTTTTCAAGGGTGAAAAATGGTTTATCTCGATTTCCGGCAAAACTACAAGTTCTATGGCAAAGTTGTAGGTAATAAAAAGATCTACAACTTTTGTATTTAGGATTTTTTCACATGACCTCAAAATTTATGTGAAAAATTTAAATGATTTTTTATTTTCATCTTTTGAAAGAAAATTCTACGAAGATTGATGGAAACTTACCTTTTCATGTCCCAAATACACTGTGATTTATTTGATTCGAAATATTTATTTTTTCACCTTATTTTGACTTAATATCAAAAAAGCACCCTAATTTTCAATAGATAATTATCGCATCAAAATATTAGCTTTTTTCAAAAAGTCGGTGTGCTTTTTGCTCGTTGAAATATCTTTTTGATGGTGTAAAATAAATATACTATAAAATAAATTACTATATTAAATCTTCTCAGAAACTGAGAAAAATCGAAAAAAACTCTAATTCGAATTTTTCTTTAAAAAATATGATTGCTGCAGTTTTATTAAGTGAAAATGTTTATTTATTAAATTCTAATTACATTCATGTCATAGAAAATCTCATAAAATATAAATATTCATATAAATCGTACTATTTAATTTAGATACTTCATTCTGATTACGTAATTAATTATAATATTTTTAATAACGTTAATTTTGTGAAAATAACAGGTAAAATATATTTAACACTTCCAAGATACAAATCATGAAATTATAAAACAACAACAAAAATGAATTGGCGCCCCTGGGCGACTTCATTGATTCCAGTGGCGCTTTTGCTTTTTCAGCTGTAGGAAAACCCGGAAAAACCTGCAGCACCATATCATCTGAAGATCTTGAGAATGTCCTCTCTCTCATAAAACAAAATGTAGGGTGTCTCCAGAGGCTCCAATATATTCAATACATCTCCAGAACACTTAGTGACACGACTATCGTCAAACTTAAACCAGTCCGTTTGGTCTTTGACCAAGGCGTAATAATGACCAGATTCAATACCAGGACCACAGTGAACAATGACTGTATGAATATTATAATAGTGGTATATTACTTTGAAGTTTTCTTCTATTTTGAACCTCCGTAAGAGTTTGGTGCTTCCGTTAGAGGTTGAGTCATGTTTGAAGATCAGTGTTATTATGAGATTGACTGGTGCCTGATCTATACTTATTTTCTTAATTTTGTTATTTATAAATATCTTATATTGAATTGTAATCACTTGTCCATTAGTTTTTGTCTCTTTGATGGCATTTCTTCATCGTTAGATTCGACAAACCTTTCCAATTCTAGTTGATCTTCGAAATCTTCAAGACCATCACCTTCTTCGTCTCCAATATTATTTCCTTTCTGCATTGGTTCTTTATCCACGATTCAGTCTGGATCATTAACTTCCTCGTAGGTTTTTTCTTCCATATTGGAGCAATTTCCAGAACCATGACAGTGGGGAATGTTTCTCAATTTGGGTTATTACAGCAAATGCAAGTTTGAACAAAATAAAGTTGAGTTCAATCGAGTTTTTCAAATTCACTTCGAAAAGTATTCAAATTGATGTTTCAAATGTTGGGTTTTAATTTTTAAAGGGATTTGTTTCTAACTCACATATTGGCAACAGCGCCTATATCAAGTTGAAATAATATATACGTACCTAGATTTTCTACTTTAAAAAAGGAAAATTATCTTTATAAATCAACAATTAAGGCAAAATATAAATTATAGTTCAATATCACCTTCACAAGCCACAGTTGTTTTGTTATTTATTTATATAGTCATATGTCACAGAATGTCTCGGAACTCGGAACATAAGTAAACAGAACAGCACGCCTCTGAAATATGTCATCTTTGTTTGTCTCATACAGGAAACAGATTCATTGTCCTTTATTAGCTATAACCGATGTTGCCAAATGGTGAAATAGAAACGAATGTTAAATTCATTATTTCATTCCTCTTTTTTAAGTATTTAAATAATTTTTTAAAGAAAAAGTTTGAAATGATAAGTTCAAAATGCGTTTTTTTAGAGCTCTTTTATGAAAAATACTTGATTTTCTTCAGGAGGAACATTTCCCATTTGAGCATAAATTTGTGCATTTTGAACCATGTTTTCGACAGCCACATTTTAAACTGTTAGTTTAGATAATATTTTCAGAATTAATACTTTTTTGTTAATTTGGGGCATAATGCCACGTTGATGTTGTTTCCAGCACCAATCTGTTGCTGTCAGTTCGTTACCCAACCAAGTTTGATGCTGATAATATGCACTGTAATAATGTTGTTCTGTTGCTCCTTGTGTGGGTGGGAGGTTTGCCATAATGAAAGATGACTTAATTTTTGCCCGTTGATATTTTTGAAATCTCAATTGATTCAGTGTAATTTTTTCCTTTTTACATTTATAAATAGATTTGCTACACTGTATGGGCTACAATTTTCCGTAGGTCACTTAGGTATATAAATTATTTCAAAACAGCAATAAATAGTCATCTACAAATATTATTTAAAGAAGATTCTAGAATTCTAGATGTTTCTTTTTTTTTGGGAAAGAAAGTTTTTGGCTTTCTACTACTCCATCTGATACAAAAAAAAAGAATGAGAGAATCTTCCAAAGAAAGGAAGGAAGTAATCAATTTGAAACTCTATACATGAATGTGTAGATCATACAAAAAAGTAACTTTCAGACACATAGATGTCTTATTAAATATTAACTTTATTAACTTATTTGTTTGATAATTATAGTACTGGTATATGTCGATTTGCAATTTTTCGTTTATCAATCTAACATGGAATCTGAGTAATTAAAGTGTAAATTTTAATAAATAGCTCAAAATTGTACATAATGATTAAAACAAATACGAATTCAAATTTTTTTCAATATTCAGGAATATGTTGAAATTATTCTTCGGGTTTGTTTCGTGTGGTGTATTGTCATTCCCGATAGGAATGAATTTCGCAACGTTTCCACAAAATCACATTTGTCATCATCTGGCGATTATTTGTAAAGTGTTAGGAAGTCGTCTGACCCTACTCAGATGACTTCTTACTGTGCGGGTACAATGATGTTATTACATATATACCGTTCTTGATTACCTGAA